GAATTGAATTCCTTCCTCTACTGTCTCTAAATTCTTCTTAACAGAAGAAAAGGAGACAGTCCCTTTATACCCTACACCTAATAAGGACAATACACTGCTGCTGCTGCTGCTGCTGCTGCTGCTGCTCATGCTGCTCATGCTGCTGCTGCTGCTGTATTGCTGCTGCTGCTGTAATGCATCCAATTGCGTATAATATTTTAAACGCTGCTCTAATAACCGCACAAGGGTCTGCAAAAAAAAATATACACAAACCCTAAACCCTAAACCCTAAACCCTAAACCCTAAAACCTAAACCCTAAACCCTAGACCGTAAACCCTAAACCCTAATCATAGTATAAGTATATCACCAGAACGGCGTTGTGTGCGCTACAAAAACCCTAATTAGTGTCTACACTCTGTTATTAGGGTTTAGGGTTTAGGGTTTAGGGTTTATTATATAGATAATTACTTCTGCTTGTGTCTGTCTTTGTAATAAATATTTTAATGCCCCTTTTACTCCTGTAGTTGAATTAAGAAGAATTTTACGAGAAAAAGACAACTTTTCTCTCTTTTTTTGCATAAAAGAGAAAAAAGATAAACAATTATATAAAGGGAATAATATATTATCTACCCTGTATATAAATAATTAAAAAAAAAACAAAAAAAAACGAAAAAATTAAAAAAAAAAATCCTAAACCCTAAACCCTAAACCCTAGCTAAACCCTAAACCCTAACTAAACCCTAAACCCTAACTAAACCCTAAACCCTAACTAAGCCCTAATTGATAATATGAGAAACAACACAAACAATGGTGCAAATCTCCTTGCAACAAGCAACAGGTAGGTAACCTCTAACTCTCTCCCTGTCTATATAATTAGGGTTTAGGGTTTAGGGTTTAGGGTTTAGGGTTTGTCTTACTCTTTGAGGGGTTTCTGCAATTGTTGCAGTTGCTGGGAATTTCTTTCCTCAAAGAAAAGAGATGCTATCCAATAAAAATCCGCCTAATTCATCACCAGCAGCAGCAGCAGCAGCAGCAGCAGAAGCAGCAGCAGCAGCAGCAGTAACAGCAGCAGCAGTAACGCAGCAGCACGCATGGGTGTATCCGTGCATGCATGTTTGTATACATTATTGCATGCATATTTGCATGCATGTATGCATGCATGCATGCATGCATGCAAAGGGTACGTACACCGCAAATAAGAGTAAATAAAAAAAAGAGGAAAAGGAAGAAGAAGGGAATACATGCTTACTTGCTGCTCGAAGCCGCATGCATCTCCTGCAGCACCATCCTTCTGCTGCTGCTGCTGTTGCTGCTGCTGCTGCTGCTGCTGCTGCTGCTGCTTCTGCTGCTGGTCTTCATTAAGGGGCTTGGTAAGGGGGAGATATCCTTGCAGTCCTCCTGCCCCTCCCCATAGTACCTCTAGAAGTTCATCTGGTGGGGCTGCATGCTGCTGCTGCTGCTGCTGCTGCTGCAGTTGCTGCAGTTGCTGCAGTTCCTGCAGCTGTGGAGGCGGTGGAGGAGGCGGAGGCACCTGCTGCATCTTCAACAGCCAGGACGCCGCGCTAAGGCGCTGGCAGAGGCCCTGCTCATAGGGTTTAGGGTTTAGGGTTTAGGGTTTAGGGTTTGGAGGTGTATAGTTGCTCTGTAGGAGAGCCATTCTTTGGCCTCGTGCAAGTTGTTGAGGGTTTAGGGTTTAGGGTTTAGGGTTTAGAGTATATATTATATATAAATATTATATTTAATTGTTAGTTATATAAAGAAATATAAAAAAGAAGAAAAAATAAACAAATAACAGCAATATTGTCTTTTCTTTTCCTCTCTTTCTTTGTTTCCTTTCCTTGGGGCTTTATTGGGTATTATATGAACTAATAAAGATCTATTTTTGTATATTTATACATAAAAAAGAATATTTTTTATATAAATTAATAAAATATACACAAAAAAACAATTCTTTTCTCCTTTTTTATGCCGTAATTATGCTGCAGCAGCAGCCGCAGCCGACCCGTCGTGCATGCATGCAGCTGTTGCGTCTGCTGCTTGTTGTTACTTTTTCTTCTTTTTTCTTTTTATTTATTAATTAATAAATATTTAATTTATTTTAATTATAAATAACAATTAATAACATAAACAAGTTGCTGCATGCATGCTCTTTTTTGGGGCTTTTTTCTCTTTTTTCTTCTTCTTTTCTTGCTGCTATACTTGAGGTGTATAGGCACCTCATGGTTATATATATATATACAAGTGTATTATTTTATTTATTTATTTATTTATTTATTTATTTTTCTTTCTTTTTCTCTTTTTTTCTTTCTTTTTCTTCTTTAAATAATTAAATAATTAATTAATAAATATAATATATTTAATTTTGTCTATAAACAAACATAAATATACACATTTCCTCTCTTTTTTCTCTCTCTTTCTTCTTTCTTCTTTTTCTTCTTTTTTCTTCCCTTTTCTTTTCTTTCCTTCCTTTCTCTCCTTCTCCCTATTAACTAAATATTTATAAATGTTATTTATTTATATTTATTTATTAATAAATATATAAATATAAATATATATATTTATTTATATTTTTTATACAATTAAATACATTTACCTAAATAATAACCATAAACCCTTAAACAAACAAAAAAAAAAAAAAAAAAAAAAAAAAAAATTTTTTTTTTT